TTGAATTTTTATGCAGATTTGCATTATATAATGGTAATGGAGAAAATGTTAAATAATTCAATTAACAATTTCTAATGAATCCATATTTATTTATTTACGGTTTTGGGATATATGAAGTGTTAAGAGTTTGTTTTGTAACCTTACTCTGGGCATCCAAGTAAATACTTCTGAGTAAAAAAGTGGAATTAAATAGTGTGATATATCAGGTTTTGTAATTTGTATGTAACTAGTTATAGTATTCTGAATCTGAATAATTGTAACTAGTTCCTCATACTAAAGATGTAACTGTATGCTTGATTAGCATTCTTCTTTAATGTACAATAAATCTTTTAAATTTGAAGGGATTTCTACAAGCAATTTGTGGCACAAGTGTCCAACATTCAAAAGAGGATTGAAAAAAAAAAGAATCCTTGCCCAAAACTGTTCTTTGGATACTAGGCCGTGTAAAGAAGTTCATATAATTGAATATTTTAAAACAATAATAAAATCTAGTCAGATTTGTAGTTAAAAGTATATTTAGTGTTTTATTTGAAAATATCGCTATTTCCTGTTTCAGATTAAATAAAATTATGAATCAGGTGGCAATTCAGCGAAAGAAGCAATTTGTGGAAAGAGTCCACAGTTACTGGCTACTTAAAAGGTTGTCCAGAAATGGTGTTCCTTTATTGAGGAGGCTGCAGTCCAGTTTGCAGTCACAAAGAAATACACAACAGGTACCTTTATTTCCTTACTCCACATATGATTAAATTATTTGGTATTATTTGAGCTGATAATGTACGGTACAGGTATCTAGGATCAGTATAATTACAAATATGAATTATGTGAGTGCTTATATTTTGCACAAGGAATAAAATATGTGAATTAAAAAGTGTAAATAGAAAATTGAGATACTGTGTTTTACACAAAGAAGAAAAGGCATTCCTGTAAGCATTACCAATAATTTTAGGCTAAATGTACTAACAGTTGTATTTGCAATATTTCCTAGAGTTAGTTAAGAGTACAATAACTAGCTAAGTAGTGTTACGACTAAACTACCATATGAATGATTTTTTTTTTATTTCTTAAGAGGGAAGATGATGAAGAAACACAAGCCTTAAAGGAGAAATTGAAGTACTGGCAAAGACTCCGTCATGATCTTGAAAGAGCACGGTTGTTGATAGAACTTATACGAAAGCGAGAAAAATTAAAAAGAGAACAGGTATGTAACTGTTGAAGATTTTGTCTTTTCTCATAGCTTAAGTTTGACATGGACTTGGTAGTCAACTAAAATGTATAGCTGATAGGGCTCTTTTTTCCCATAATGGGAGAGGAAAATATACGTGTGTGTGTGTATGTATGTATGTATACAGTCCTGTGCAAAAGTTTTAGGCAAGTGTGAAAAAATGCTGTAAAGTAAGAATGCTTTCAAAAAT